AATTACGGGCAACGCAGATTTTTTGTTTTGTTTAAAGTTCAAATGTAGTAACTCGAATTTTAATTATCAGTTAACTGAACTTCGAATTACGGGAAATATATACAACTAAGTTCGAGTTACTGTTTGGGCGTGGTTTCTGAAATATTGGCATAGGCATGTCCTCTGAACTCGATGTCTGCGTAACTCGATGTTCGTAACTCGAATTCAGCATCTCTCTCCGTTGATGCTAAGAATAATCAATTGCACCAAACTTCGTCTCAACACATATCACATTGAGTTACAATCTGGGCGCGGTTTTGGAAAAGTGGGCGTGGTCTCTGAAATATGGGCGTGGGTATTTCCGAACTCGATGTTTGCATAACAATTCAGCACAAGTCTCCCCGTTGATGCTAGAAATTGCACCAAACTTCGTCTCAACAAATACCACTTACATGGCTGCATTACACTTAACTATATAGCATTGGTATATCCTCGTTATATAATAATTATATAATTCTCATCAATAAATAATATATAAATGTGGTCCTCAACATGACCATATCATTCATTGATAAGGAATCCCCAATAATTTGTAACTATATATGCAATGATAGTCTTTATCCAGCGTATCATCAGTAAGAGACCCGAGTAATCGTATCAGCCACAAATCGGACTTTTCAACGCTATTGTCTTTTAAGTTGTTTTAAAATTATTTGTTGTGTCAATCAGATGTCAAAATAACAAAAAGTCTTGAAACACAAGTGTATAAAAGTGATTGTCATAAGAATCGGATGTAGAATCAAAGATTTTTTTTCTAGCTTCTATGATATTGTATTTGTTCTTTGTTTATATATCGTATCAAGGCTGGTTATGACGATCGGGATAGGATAAATAAACAACGGCACATAAACCCCAAAGTAGACATTATCTGAACAAAAAGATTAAACACAACATGCAGCATTTATCTACACCTAACTATAATTATTTCACCTTCCTTCACGGCGTAGACATTTCTTGTAAAGTACAATGTAACTCATTTTTCGTGTTGCTGCTCCGATAATAACGTTCATTCTTAATTTTGTTTTCCAAAAAAGACAAAAAAACAATGGAATTTTTAAATAACATTTTAACCATTTGGTTATTTTCAATTGCGGTCTATCTCATTTTTTTGTAGATTTATTTTTAAATTTGGATTGGATTTTTTGGGAGCGATAATACTGCCAGTGAAAAATAGTGTTTGTATTCTTCATCAAGTGTGTGTGTGTTTGTGTGTTTTATTTTTTGTTCATTCAAGATTTTGCAATTCTCCCACGACCTCACCCCAAGTTTCTACGGGTCAACCCTTCACACATGCACGGGTAATCAAGACCTTTGGATATCATATCTACCAGTAACGCTATAGAGGGCGCACATTGAACTTATTCACATTCGTTCAATTTAAACAATGTCTCCATATTACTAGAGATTTTACTAATTTACTTCTTTAACAAATATAAACTGCGTCAAGTTCAAGTTCACAGCAAATAGGTGTTATTATATTTTGGTGATTATAGAACGTTGTATTGCTATGCACAAGACTAAACATATTGAAAACAGAATCAGTATAAAAAACACCATGCGACATTTATTTATGAATTTCTAAATGTTTACATTGTTGAGACACTTAAATTGCCCTCACTTTTACTTTATAGATTCACTTGTATGGATGTATTCCATATAACCCTCTCCTCCGACAAATACAAACACATCCGAACTAGAACAGTAAAAATAGGTGGTTAATACAAATTATATTCAAACTATATCATGTCGGGTATCACGATAACAGCATTTTCGGACGTATTCAAAGAAAATCCGCAATTCAGCCCGGCCTACAAAACAACTGAGTCCTCATGGATAGATACAAGTTTCACCAATAAAGGGCGCGATTGACACTGGCCGGGCGTTCTCAATAACAACACATATGGCTAAACTGAACCTTCTCAAAAACCAGTCGAACACAAACTATTTTGTTTCCAAGAATATATGTTTAACGAATAGTAAAACATTTCTGACAACTTATTTGAAAAAGTTTCTGTGTATTCATTGCCAGACCTTGACGTATGTGACACATATGTAAACACTGAGTAAAAAAACATGTATAACGAACGACGCAAATGAGTTCGCGCGTCCGAGAAATATTATTATTTTAATTCTTATATAGCGCGTTACATAGAACATACATTCTCAATGCGCTTTACATAAAAATAGTTATAAAAAGTACATTATTTAGAAAAATAAGATTACATTAAAACCAGATAAAACACATCATTGTACTGATGTACTATGATAATGGTAAAGATGAGTTTTTAGTTGAGACTTGAAAGCAGACAAAGTGGGTGCAAGGCAAATATGTTTGTGAATATTCTGTATTAGCATACGCCAAACCATCTTTCGTTAATATTAATGAGTTGGCTCACCGTTGTCCAATCAGTAATCTTAGGATTTTGACTGAATGGGCAGTCCCCGCACTACGTCTGATATTCGAATATGATTGAAAGCATGCGTGCGCAGTTTGGATGCTGACAATGTTGAGCTTTTCCATATTTCGCAATTCCATATTTGAATTGAAATGAAGGCAGAAAGCCGGTATTTACAAATGCGTTCATGTAATACAGTACAGGTTTCTGCCACACATTGTACAATAATTCATTGAGAAAAGTTTCAATATTTTAAAAAGATTTAACATATTTGAATGAGTCATGTTTATTTTACTCTTATAGTCTCATCTCGGATGACGCACGGGTTCACTGTCTTCGTTCATGCGCAGTGGTTGGTAGTCATGAACCAGTGATCCCCACTTAGGATACAATATTGAATTTGTTCGCTGCTGTTGTTGTAATTGAATATGTACGCGTGTTTTTGTACTATGTGAAGCCAGCAGAAGCATGTACGTTTTTCATATAAGTCTAAATATTTATAAACTAAAACAGCGGCTATACTATTACACAACTGTGCCATTCCTTTATTTTTATAAATATTTAAATATCAACGCCAGTCAATCAACGAGCGTATTGTCGAATGACGTCATTTAAAAATGTTTAATGTTATTCCACATGTCAATAAAAACGATAGTACATGACACGAGCACGGGTAGTCACGGTGGTGTAAGTTCTCAAAGATATTCATAAAGTCCTAAATGTGACTGATTTCAAATGACAACAGTTGGGTTGAAAAATAAACACGTGACATTGTCACAGTAAATCCCGTGCTAGTGATGATCCGCGCGAGACGATCGTTTACATGATATAAGCAAATGACTTCACAGTACGCTGGCCCAAATCGTTAATCAGGGTAAAATACTAGTAAAACTACGTTTTTTTCCTTCAAAATGTTGGTTTATTATCCCATTTTTATCTCCAATACGACCATTTATAACAATGACGGTTTTTAAAAAAAAATCGTAATACGTTGATAAAAACGAGCCACAATTCTTGTTGTTTATTATGACGAATTTTGAACTTATAATAACAAAAAAATAATTTCTTCGTTAGGTGATCATATTTTGTAGAACGTTATTTGGCGAGATTTCATTACGGGATCAGTTTGGTGCATTAGTGATTTTTTTGTTTGCTTCGGTTTGTTGACGGAAAAAAAGTTGTGTGTGTTCTGCAACAAATGGGGTTACGTAGACACCCCAGGGCGGCATATGGAATGTATCAGAAAAATATGCAGAATAACATCCAGTGAGATGGCGAAATCACAGCATGAAATAATTGATCAGACACATAGTTTTAAACCTCAGGGAGATCAGTTGCACGGAAGCGGCACATCAAATGCGATCAAATTATCAATTTATAACTGTACTTTATACACGACTGCAGAGACGCGATTCGGAGCATCTTTCGTCGATGACACCATAGGACATTGGAGGACATTGTCTTATTTTTCATCAATGTGGGCGTGCTTTTGGCGAACAGTGACCGCCTCTGTCAACAGTCACGCAGTATAGTCTGTGTTTAATAGGACGAAACGATTCAAACTTAAACATAGTAGAAGACTATTTTGAAAAAAAATAAATATCGTAGCCGCACTCATCCAGTTTGAATACTTAGATGGTCGAAGCATACATATACAAATAAGAACAGGATACGTCGAAAAAAAAAATGTTCAAAACAAGCTGCTCTCTGATTGGTCTGACTATTATGTATTATGGGTTGAACAGCCAATCAGGTACATTCTTGTATGTAGCTTAGCGTTGAATACTTTTTAATAATAGAAATGCATTTGAGGCAAATAACGACCCTGATATTATCCCATTCATTAAATGCCTTCAACACACATGTCACAACTTGTGAACTCGTGCATTCTGGGTATTCTGACGATGATTGAATTTTGTTGGATCAACCTGTTGCATGATCTCGTTATTTATTTGCATATATATCGTGGTTTAGCATAGAGATGCAGATGTCAACAACTTATTTGAACCTAAGTTAAAGTAAATTATGCCAACTTCACTTTTCACAAAATAAGCTTGCATAATTAATTCCATATTGTCGCCAATGGAAATCTATATATATTTAAGTCAAATATTTACGAAAAAATACATAAACAATTATTTGTAATCATACCAAATTATATAAATTAAAAGTTTTTTTTGACTGATTGCACAGTAGAGAAACCCCATCAAATATTATGGAACTTGTTTCATCAGAAATGGCGCAACAAATCAAAGTATTGTGACATTTAAACTAATACACAAGTAGAACCAACTAGGACCCCCCATAGAGATATTAGTTCCAGTGAGCGAACAGCAATGCTCACATACCTTTGTAATTCTCAAATGACTTTTACTGGCAAATACATGAATGGAATAAAAAAATGTACTATAATGCCCAGTAGTCGCGCGCCTTATATGTATTGGCATATTTCAAGCACAAGATTCAACAGTTGCGCAGTTGAAATGCGCAGTTGTAAATCAGAAGCATGCTAGTTGATGTCCTTGACATTTAATAGTAGATTGGTTAATGCCATCGACACTTGAACACTTACTTTAGAATTGTCTGGTTGGAAATGGCATACAGGACGTCAAAGCGCAGTTTTTATTTGGTGGTGTGTACACAACTGTTATTGGCAGTCACTTGCGTAAAAGGTAATTTTCAACTTATATTGTTTTCGTGAAAAAATCAAACAAGTCAAATACAGGAAACATAGGTCATTTTTTTATCTGATTCAATTTGAACTTTGAATCCGATAAGGTTGTTTCCATCGCGAACATTGTATATTAACGCTTTTATAATAAAAACGGCGACAACGGACCAACTAAAATTGCGATTCGTTATTTTTTAGCGTCAGTTATACATGGTCAGATCTTTCAAACATCTCTCTTAGTGAAATACGTTTTTTTTAATTGTCGTTGACACAGAGTTTGGAATTGAAACGTCGCCGTTCCACCACTTGTGTTTGTACTCTATATTAACATTCGTCAATTGTATCATTTTTATATTTTCTGGCGTACAAATCTGGTCAATTATAAAAAATATTCAGGCAGTGAACATTTCTCGATTTGTTTTTTTCTCCAAGAAAATTATGCTAATTTCACGTAATGTAAATGCTTTCCCTGCCGGAAATCTTTAATTCAGATTATGTACCAAAAAGCCGCACAATACACCGTTTTATTAAACCATTTCGGAACTTTAGAAAAGTAACATGACATTGGACAATGATGTGGAATGAAAAAAAACAAAACATTTTTGTTTTTACTTCACCCCTTCTAGACGGTATATGTTTATTATGCCGACTAAATATAATGTCACGCTGACATATGGTATGTATCAGACAAGACTCGCAACGGCGGAATAACATTCGATGGGATGTCATCACTGGCGAAAACACAGCGTGCGATCAATGAACCGGCACATGGTTTAAAACATCAAAGATATCATTCGCTTCACAACGGTACATTGAATGGGATCGGATTATGGCGGGCAGACACCACAACCTAGCAATTACGGTATACGATTCCAACAATATAGCATGTCGGCTCGGATCTAGCCACCGGAAGGTATGCCGCCTTATTTTCCAATAAGGTTGGATAACTACTTAATTCGAAACTTGGTTCATAAGTCTCTTTATAGATTGTTCCAGATTAAATCGTCACAGTCGTCACATCGGTCGCATCATGTTTGCTATGGATCCCATGTGAAATACAAAAATCGATCGCACTGCACCAAAAAGTTTGGCGAGTTACAGAAACAGTAAAACTACATGAAATATTACGAAAAAGTCAGAAGAATGTACTCAGAACTAGAAGAAGAACTTAGTTGAACTTGGCAATTGAATTATCATTAGAACGCTCAACTTCTCATGCCAACGTTGTGCACGTATGTAGACAAGATTCGCCGGATTTTTACATAGCGACTAGTTTTAGACAGCAGCTAAAATTCTTGTATGCATTGTGTGGCAAGCTAATTGCACAACCACGACCTAACAAGTTATGTGTGGGACTTGGCCATAGTGCGTAATTATGACGATAAAGTACTATACATTGAGTCTAAAATTACTACGTGTAGCACGCAGTATTTACGATTTATGTCGAAACAAACCGAAGAACAGTGACAGTAGAATCCGTACATGCGCAGTTCAGATGACAGTTCCCTGAATTAAATCTTGATAACCCCGATTTCTTTTAATTTAGCTGATTTTCTCGGTCCCATAGATTATCCTCGACTGTCTGGACCACCACTACCACCACGGTACCCCTACTATATATGAAGTACCACGTTCGTCTCGCAGTGTGATTTAATAGTAATCAACTTCAGTGCTCGCCCCGGCAACAATAGTGAAATATCTACTAGTCTTTCCATAGGATGTTCTAGTTAAATTATTCTATTTGTCGCCCTGATTGTCTGTAAGTGTCCGGAAAACTAGAACTATACCTAGCATAAATAACACATTGTGTCTTTTTTTTTCTCACAGGCACGTCTGACATGAGTGAACTCCACTTCGTAGTGGAACCTGGCAATATTGTTGTTGAAACCGGTCTCCCGTTCACTTGGGACTGCGCAGCTGGAGGCGAAGATCCTGTCACGATCACTTGGAAGAAAGATGATATAATAATTAACAATGACGAACACGTGCGTATTCTTGCGAATGGGTCACTATATTTTGACGCGACAAAGGAATCGGAATTGTCCGAAAGATTCTACGAAGGCACATATACTTGTCTTGCGACTAACAGCTATGGAACCATATTCACGTTTGGGAATATACAACTCGCCAGTAGGTACCATTATGACAAATATTACAATGTTAGTAATTAGAGTATTATTAGAGTACTGTCATGAATTTGTTTTCGCGTATCTGTTGACCGACTTAATTAGCTGATTATTAGCGAATTGCTGTGTTATGTCTGTCATCGTTTAGGTCTATTTGAAGTTTTGGACGGAACTTGGCTCAGTGATTTGGAACTAATTACGAGATATCCGTCGCGATTCTGACAGTTGGTATTCATAGTTATTAATGTAGTGAACGATTAATCAAAAGATATGACGTATTCAGTACTTAGTTTGATTGGCTTTATGATTGAAGGTTACGCCCTAGAGTCTTTTTACTGTTTTGTAATTGGTTAGAGTTTTGAAAATGAATAAAGAGAGTTTGAGTTGGTCTTGGCGAATACTCCACGACAGACGCAGTCGAGTCGAGTCGAGAGTCCAAGAGAGTCCTGGGGCGAGCCTTGAGGCAGTCCAGTCTTGGGCGAGTCTTGGGTCAGCCTTGGATAGTCTTGGGGACTTTTCCCCAGGGCGCTGTGTCTGATAGAGTGCTCGATTGACCGACTAAGACGAGAGCTGAAACGTATTTCGTTGTGTGTGTCTTATTTGACTGTAAAGTATAAGTGACTTTCCCGATCCCGTACCTCAAGGGGACGAGATAGAGAGACGAGACGAGTTTCCCCCCTGACAGTGTGGAGACCCCGAGAGAGAGAGATTTATCCCCTGATAGTACACATTAAATCCGTCGCTGTGTGAAATTATTTAAATTTCCAGACCTCTACTTTGAAGATAAAATACGGAGAAGACAGTGGAATTTGAATATTGTTGTTTGATACTGTATGTTGGTGGACACATTTGATTAAGATTTATAATAATATAAACAATGCAGAATAAAACTAAATGTTCATTCAATGTATAGACACTTGTTTTCTAATTTGCATATTCTCTGATTTATTTGGTTCTGCATATGCATAAAATTGCCAATTTTCATTACGTGTTCTCGTTAATTTTGTGTTTTTAGTATATTGTATTTTTCTGTGTGTTATACCGCTTATATTAAAACTCGATTTAACAATCTTTATTATATTTTTCAGTGTCAGTGTTTAGACAATATTACAAAAAACGTTAGAACAAGTGTACGACATTTTTTTCTGCTTCAGACAAAATGTTCTTAATTTCGTTATAGCCTTTCAAAATTTCGAGATTGAACGTCAACATTTCTAGACTGTCGAAATTGGGGCTTCGAATTATATATTTTGTTTACTAGTATTCAGTTTCCATGCTAAACGTAATTACTGTTTCTTGGTGTTTTGAAGCACTGTCAAGGCCAATACTGAGACCAAGATCTCGCGTTGTTCTCGCGGGAAGACCTGTGCGACTGAGATGCTTAGTGCAAGAATCGATTCCCGAACATACAATCTTTTGGCAGAAAAATGGTGTCGACCTACCTAAGAGCTACAGGTAATATATTTTCATTCAATTGCAGAGGAACATAGACTCTTAATCTAAACACAATTTTAGAAATAACACTGAAAATAAGTATGTCATGCATTTGCTGTGCTCAAATCGCCAGGGTCGTCGCAATGCGTTCAACTTTTCCAACATTTCTTTGGATTCCTTCTCATCCTATTATTTCACAGCACAAAGCAAACAAGGTATGATGACGGTCTGGATAGTATGCTGCCCTCTGGTGAACAGAGTCGCCTTTGCTCTATATTTCGTTTTTTTTTCTTTGACAAAGTTTTCCGATTAAAAAATCGTGTATCCTTAATCTGACAGTTTGTCCGAGTCTTACGAATATACCGGTATTGTTATTCTTCATGCATAACTGAACTAGCAATATTATCGGTAAACATGCAGTTTCCCAAATATTACATTACGCTAAGATTACATTACGAGCAAATTAACGCGATATGGGTACCAGGCGGAATTGACACGTCGACTGCCTCCACCATTGTGACGTAGGAGAGGAACATAGCAAACGCAAAACATATTATATGATACAGTATTACCGATCAACCTGATTCAGTATCAATAACATAGTTTTGAGCCAAATTACCTGTTAAACACAAATAAACCAAATTATTATCTCGCAAGTAGGAGACACTCCATGTTAATGAAAAAACTGGTCACATGATCGTTTGATAATTATCCATATACCCACGATATTTTTTCTTAGGTCGAAGTCAGTATACACGAGTGATTACCACCAGAGTGTTTGTATCAATCCGCGCCGCAAGCGAAGATTGATGCTACCCTGGCGATAATCGCGAGTGTCTGTTGACGTCAACCTAAGAGAAAATATCGTAGGATTACTAGTATGTATTTATCAAATGCATATTTCCACAGTATTAAACAGTGTATGTTGACAGCGGCAAAAATGTACAGTACGTCATAGGAAGTACTAGTATATTTTCAACCCCGACCCAAATAGAGGACAGAATCTGCCAATACATGAAAAGCTGTTCATACCCTTGTCTAGTCACATGCAACGTAACACAAACCCAAAATAACAAGATTGTCGATTCTCACAGGAACCATACTCATTTCCATTAAACCCTAACAAGTTTTCCAAACAACTTATCATACACACGCAATAATGTCATAATTCCATCGATAACATGTCTTCAGATACGTGGTCCTGCCACAGGGAGTTCTTCAAATTATCAATTTTCAACCAAGCGACGTAGGAGAGTATTCTTGTATAGCTGAAAATACTTTCTTCAGAAAAATGAGTTCCACCGCGACTTTTAGTATCCATAACCGAGAGGAATCCGCGTCTAAAGACGAGAGCTGTCCAGACAACAGAACGCCCAAGATACTGTCCGCACCAAATAGCATTGTTTCGTTATCTGGAACCAGTGTAACATTGGAGTGCCTTGTTGACAGTTGCTCAACAGACGAAGCAGTGCCGTTCGTCACCTGGTACAAAGGTCTGTATTTTTATATTAATACATATGGTTTATTACTAGTAAATCGAATAATGTAATAATAATCATAATTTAACCATATATATATATGCATAACCATATATGCTCTCACAGCGTTACAAACAGGATTGCACTCTGCCCAATTGCCAGACTCGCGAAAGTATGTTTTATGTTCTGTTTTAAATACGTGTTGACATCTGGTATACCAAATTGTATGTTTTCATATCACCTTCTTTTTTATTCATAGGCGGACTTCCGTTATCATCAAATAAATTTGTACCACACGGCGAGACAAATCTAAAGTTAGAAGAATTAAACATTGCAATGGCTGGTGTGTATAAGTGTGAGGTGACCATCCCGTCAATGGATATCAATCTTTTTGCTGTAATAAATCTGGATATTCTTGGTAAGACGACATCTAGCCAATGTTATTTACCACAAAACAATACGCGATGAACTACGGGAACACCGCGTTCCTTTAAGTCACGTCCTCCCAGCAACGAGGAGCTTCATCCCCAGCGTCGATTTAGGTCGCCCGTCATTAGCGTTGATAACTTTTATATGACAAACGGCAGCTTAATCAGACAGTAGGTTATTTCAACGGCATACCTTACTACCATCTACTTATTTTTGTGTAACAGAAAGTCTTCGTCGCTAGCAGGCTGACGTGTCCTTCCTAATTATTAATCCGTGCTGTGTAATTGAGGAGGTCTGAATTGAGGTCTCATATCAAAATTAGCCTAACAGCATTAAATGTTTTTTTTTCACCGCGTTTTATCTGAACCGCGATGTGTCAGGGCGTACGTCAAATTACGTCAGCTCGTGGTTAGACTCATGTATGAAGTTTTGATTTTTGACAAGTACCTGTAGATCCGGGCAACTCTCGCTTAGACACTTCTGTAATTTTTGCATTCTCCGTCGCAGAGACTATTGGTCTTTTATCACTAAGCTAGGTAGTCGCGAGGGAACGTCCCACTAGTCTCTGCCACAGGCTAATTTAAATATTAATGACCGGACCTACATTTTGCTTTGTCCTGAGTGCGTTTGCGTCGCTTCGTAGGGTGCCTCAAACGACGTGGCAGAAAGTAGATGTATTGGTCCGTTGCTATGCGAGCGAAAATCGTATAAAATGTATAAAATTTATTTTGAAATCACGCCCACTGGCATTTTATGTTTGAGAAAATTACCTAAACACGTTTGTACTTATCATCGATTTCCTAGTTCGCTATCTTTTTCCTAACATCGCCCAGTTGTGACGTCATATAGCAGGCGAACGAAAACTGGGCAGGCGCGAGGCGCCCGCGTCACCCCGAGGCAACGACGCGAACGCACAGACGATTTGAACTGACGATTCACATCTACGTCTCCTACCGCACGATCTACTTTTTCATTATTTTATCATTTTGAAAAGATTTTAGCACTGAATGTAAACATATTTGACATATTTATTTTAAATAACACCCATTTTTTTCAACTGAAGCTTAGGATATCAGAAACAAATGAATTAAAAAAAACGCGGAATACCAACAATTTTGGTGTAAAATGTCGCCTGTGGCAGAGTCTAGTTGCAGCTCTCTGTGGCCCCCTAGGTCAAGAAGACTCTGCAAGGGAGAGTGTGATTTTTGTTGACATCCTTTTTTGTAGGCATTTGAAATGACGAGCATCTGTTTACCTACATGTGGTTTCTTTTTTCGGAGAAATTCACCCAAACGCTAACATTTTCGTTTATAGAAATGTAATTATTGGTATGAGCTTTTTCATGTATCTGAGCAGGAAAATACCGTGATCATGTAGATGGCAACACGAGAGGCTGACTGCACTAAAACTGTTTTACGAAGCGCCTGACAGTTTTCACAGTGTGCCCTTCTAGCAAAGATTTAAATTTACAGTTTGTAACGCATTCTGCAAATGCTACAAATGTGCATTTCGTGTCATCTATAGTTCATCTTTACTTCTGAATTAATCGCAATGTGCCCCGTGTTGTATATTTAAAGTAATGATTTTCCTAACATCATCGTTCCTGGACCTAAGTTTATAATATGTTTATGCAATAGCTCATTAATTTATCAATCTCTTACCAAGACCATTTTGGTGTGTTTGTTTTCGTATATGCATATACGATTTTTGTTCTCTGTGATGTGAGGTGTTTCGTATTTGTTTGGCATGTATTGTTTGGCGTTACTTAGCAACATGCAACGTGGTGGGCAAGGTGATTAGTGTTACATGCCTTTGTATCTGATCTGTCAACTCTCTACCACAGTACCGCCAGAATTCCTGAGTGTGCCTGAATCACAAATCATTCCGCTCCAAACGACGGCAAGATTTACATGCGTGGTATATGGTGTGCCGGAGCCTGAGATAACATGGTACTACAACGGTGAAGCTATCCGATACAGCGGCCGCTTTTTCATGCCGACGAATAGAGACTTGGTTATTAGCAATGTACGCAAGAACCCAAAGGAGTCAGACGAGGGCGTCTACCAATGTGTGGCCGAAAATAGCAGTGGACGGATAACAGCTGTTGCTTTATTGACGATAGAGATTTGTAAGTTTAGTTTAGTTGTTCATATGGAACACATAACACCACTGACAAGAAATTCTACCTAATAAGTTGCACACGGCACGTAACGTGTTTGCGCAGCGTTTGGTGTCTTGACATGGTTCAGAAAGTCCCCCGTCGTTGTGGATTGTCATTTACGTATGCTCTCACTCAGGTTTGAAAAGGAAATTTTGAAATTATCAAGAGTCTTTTTCGGGCAAGTTTGACGTTATATCTACATTTTAACAAATTAGTGACAGAATTCAAATTTGGACGAAAGTTATTAAATATTGACGATACCGTCGGTGACAGTAGTATCAGGAAAATGGGTATCTTAAAGCGCGGTGGTCGCCGCGCAGCGCGTGTTCGAATTTCATGTAAATAAACAATGTATTTCACACGCGTTGTATACGTCGCTTTGAGTCCCTTATCGAATGAGACGTGGCGCGACGACTACCGCCCTTCAAATTGGAAGTTGAGTGGTTCCAAGACGTAGGTGTGAGCATGGAACTATAGTTCCATGGTGTGAGCGTTGCCAGCCGAGACTGCTTATTGTTTTAACAAGCGTGTAACGCATTACTGAAAAAATATGTTATTTTAGCTAACATGTTATTTTAGCTAACATGTTATTTTAGCTAATTTGTAAATTAGCTACTTCAAAATGTCGCTAATTCAAAATAAACCATTTTCCTGCAATGATACGTTTGATACTTTAGCTAAATTAATATTCATGCATTTATTGGATATTTTAATGAATATTCACGAAGCGTGTATATTAGTCAAAGATTAGAACACTATACGTAAGACGACGAACTACGTATAATATATATTCGATAGTGTATAATATTGTTGTCAACATTTGGGAATGATATTTTTATCAAAAGTTGACAATATACGGACCATATCAGATGTTAGTATTCAATCTGACAGATTAACGGATGAAACGGACGACGATGTGAGCATTAATTAATACAAATATGTTTCCTTTTAGCCGTTAAAAACCCAAACGAACCGGTAATTGTGTTTGCGGCGCCTGTGACTACTTCATCAATCGCTCTGGAATGGGAAGCACCGCGTAATATAGATGGAGAACAACTTATAGCCTACAGTGTATACTACCAGCCAATATACGGTAAATATCGATTCTCTATAATTCATAGAAATTGATTTTATGCCAATATATACCACTTTTTGACCACAATTAAGTTCAGTAGATGCTTTCGGGGTTCTCTAGTCTGGGTACTATATCGCTTCGCTTTTTACCAAAACTCTCACGCTAGTCAGGTCGTCCTTCAAAGATTCTACTCATTAAGCATATAAATTTATTTGCAATGTCATGAAGAATGGGCGGTTGCACTTTCGTCGCTGTGGCAACTATAAGTTGATATAGCGAATGTCTTTGATATGTTCATGTTCGAACTCACCACAAGTGTTCATTTTGTAATCTTCCCACGCAGGGTTTTCAAAATGCAATTATATATAATATAATTTATACGTGCTAGAATGTAACTCATATTCTCAATGTCGTTTTTGCGAGTGTGCAAAAAAAAAACACGAATCTCTGTAAACCACACCACATACCGTATACAGTGGTTGGAGTATGGTCAAGCAATACGAATCTGCTTCCTTATATACGTACTATAGACCGACAGACGTTCAAATGTGTTTCATATGCCTGTAGGTGGACGGACTGGTGTCAAAGTGGTTTCCAGTGACGTCACATCGTGTGTCGTACATAGTTTGCTACCTCACACTAACTACATACTAGAGGTAGTGGCCTTTTCAGGAGTAGCAGCAAGCCATACTTCAGATTCCGTGACAGTGACAACAACCATTTTGGGTGAGTGATTTGATCCCCTGTATACTGTATATCTATGGTGATATTAGTGGTATCTATGGTGATACTAACGATTAAATAAACAATAAAACATAAGTTTGAGAATTTTCAATATTTTTGATCAACATTTTTGACGCCACACTAAAAGAAAAGAAAAAACACACACACGTTACACTAATAACTACACTGTTGCGCATGTCTTTTCGATTTTCAATACGTACCAGTGAATCAAATTGACTACGTAATCTCGTCAAGTATTGTTGCCTATGTGTGGTTTCTATGCCAACGGCATTCACGGCCAGGTACATTGATATATGGCTTGGACTTCTGAACATGTATCATCTATGGGTTGATTTTACAGCACCAAACGAGACTCCCACCTTCAATCTACTCGCCATCGACAGTTCCAGTATTGAGATCACATGGGACGTACTGGCGCAAAATAACGGCATGATCAACCGATACAATATTTATTATCGCAAAAAGACTGCGGACAGTTGTTCAAATATCGTGGCAGTCACTACAAATGGCACAACATACGAGTACACAGCGGAGGACCTGGATCCTGATTGTGTGTATGAAGTACAAATGGCTGCTTCAACTTCAGCAGGAGAAGGTCCAAAATCTGCATGGACCTCAATAAAAACACTGAACCACCAATCAGGTGAGTAATTTGAAACATAATAGGGTTAGGGTAGTTCCATATGTGGCGTCACATCCAGCACGGAGAATGCAAAAAAACTATATATCAGATGAGACCTATTACGGCCTTAGATTTTGTGAGAAAATTCCCACTCTGTGTTGATACTCTCGGGGTTCTCAACTTTATATTGATTATCCGCATTTAAGAATTTAATTGAGTACCTACCCCCTGCACGGAAGTGTCACGGTGATTTGTCTGATAGATTCCGGAAATCCCAACTGGTAATTAATATCTGGTTATTTAAAGCTGTGTAATGAACTCACCCAGGATTATAAATTAAATTTTTCAAACGTGGGGGGTCTTTATTTGACGGTGGTCTTAACTAGAACATTTGTGGTCCAATTACAGTATTGTTAATCTACCATAACTGGTCGTTTAGGGGAATAGGTATTCATATCTGATGTCTAACAATTTTAAAATCTAGCGTTTGAGTAAAAAACAAACATCTTCAAGTACAGTAGTTGGTATCCTATCATCTATCAAGGTAGTTTATATCACAGTCAATTATATTGTAGTAGGGTACGCCCGTGCCAAACGAGTTGGATTATTAATGAGTTGATTGAGTTCTTTTTCTCTTTGGATTTGAGACTTATAATGAAGAAGTGTACTGTTTTTTTTTTGTTTTTGTTTTTTGTAATTTGAATCAATATCCACTCCAGTTAAAAGGAAATCGGGAAGTATTTATTTTTAATGATACAAATTTGTCCGTGTGTATGTCTCTGTCAAATGTAGTTCCTTTGATATCTCAATGGCTTGATTAAAATGACACTTGGGACACACATACCACTGTTTGGTATATGTCATGCACATCAGACCTGAATACTTCCGTGCTGTGTATTGTAACAACGGTTTGCTTGAATGGGTTGAAACTTAGTAGATGCATATCACCCGTACAGTTGATAATAGTTTCTAATTATTCTGTATCCATTTTGTATCCATTTATCATCTATCTAGTTGAATATCTGACCCTAGTTTTGAATTAATCTGTGCATATTAATTAGCTTATTAGTATACTATTTAACTGTTGCGGGTCTTTACTCTTTTCCTAACAATCACATGGCGTGAATCTTTGTATCCATATACTTTTTAGCTTTGTCGAGCGGAGCTCATCATCTGAGTGATTGTCCGTCGGCGACCGTCGTTGTCTGTCGTCCGGTGTCCGTCGTCGTTCGTCGTCCGTGTCAACTTTTTAATTTTTCGAGTTCTTGTTGAAAACCGCAAGTCCGATTGCCTTGAATTATACATATAGGTACCTCACGTAGACCTCTCTCAGATTGTTCATTTCGTAATGATATCTTCAATAATCTATTTCTGATGAATATTTTGATCATTTTTGGTAAAAAGTTATATTTTCCAATTCTTGTTGAAAACAGCAAGTCCGATTACTTTGATACTATACATATAGGTACTTCGGGTATACCTCTCAGATTTGTTTATTTTCTAATGATATCTTTATATCTTTAATGAATGTGCATTGCTGACAGGGGAGCTATCTCAGCGGACATGCTGCTTGTTGTCTTGTTGAATGCCTAACTCTAGCTTGGAATTAATCTGTGAATATTACTTATTTATTAGCATACTATTTAACTGTTTCGAGATGTTTACTCTGTATCTTAGCAATCAAATGGCTTGAAACTTTGTATCCATATACTATGTGTCTAGTTGAATATCTGACCCAAGTTTAGAATCAATCTGTGCATATTAATTGTCATTAGCATACTATTAACTTGTTCAGGTTGTTTTCTTTATCTTAGCAATCAAAGTTTGAAACTTTGTTGTTGAATGCCTGACCCTAGTTAATTAATTATTTAATTACCTAATTTGCATCATTAATTGCATGTTCTTCTTATAACTTTGTAACATTTTACTCAAGTCGATTGAAACTAGCTGCTGGTGTCGACGATTATGTAATATTCTAAGATTGTGCATGCATACTAATGAATTGTTTTCATCGTGTTTGTTTCATTATAACGGATATGTTGAAGCTAAGTATACGAATGCTGTTTATAAATGACTGGTAACAGTTTATAATAGTCAGTGCAGTTTAATTCACTGATACTGTAAATTAAGTACATGGAACTTTTTTCATCTTTTTCTGTCTGTGTCATACCAATCCTCGGGGCGGAGCTACGTCACAAGACGTTCCACGTTGCTAAGACGCGCACCACTGTATCAAGTATTTCTGTGGACTCTGTGCGCGCTGCAGTGGAACTCTGGTCGAGCCGGTGAAAATTCGAGAAAACAACACAAACTCAACTTTGAAGTAATCCTGAAGAACCAAATTTATATATGTTACACACACAGGGATAGTCTTGTTACACTGTTCAGGGGAGTCTCAACAACCATCCCAAAGTATCGTTTTCTGCGAGTTTCTTGCCTTTGTTTTCATCGCGATGGTTGCCCCGAGGATACAAGAAAAACACTTTTTTTTTACTTATAATTGTCGCATATTATGAGTAGGCTTCTATCTTAACAACTAAAATGGCATAGAAGAGAACCATTGTAGTCAGCCAACTATGACTTATTAACACATTTAAATAAAGGGTTTCAAGGCGATCGACGGCAATTACTGTGAGAGTCCACAACAATAACTCCAATATTTGTGTCTTTCAGCTACAATGCAAAGTAATTTCCCAAGTCCTCCTCGAAATCTTACGGCCTTCGCTGTGTCTTCTGAGTCTATTGCACTGTGGTGGGAGGCGCCGCTGCTCAGGAATACTATCGATGACATCATATCGTACTATGTACATTACCAAGTCAACCCAGGTAATATATCAAGTTACCCCGGGTAATGTTTTCAATTATATTCGTCGTGATACCAGTTATTTGATCCTTTCAAATTATTGTCGGGATTATAACATTGTGAATTGTTTTAGTTTGACAGTGTGGCACAATTCGGGCATCTTTTATTTTGCAGCCTTTTTTTCTCATTGAAAAATCAATTTTACGGCCTACATGTTGTATATTTTTCCTGGTGGCACTGTATTTTAAGATTCTAAATTAATTTTTGAACAAAACCATTATCATTTAAATATATAAAATTACTTCTGGCTATCAAAATCAACATTTCAATAAATCTAGAAATACTCCAAATATTATATTTGTCTTTATTTGTCAGTAATAATCACTCAAAGTATCGATTTCAGAATAACTAAACTGATTTGGTCATCGAAATCTTGAATTTTGTTATTCCAATGTTTGCAATATCTGAACACATTATATTAGCGATTGTGTGTAAAAAAAATAGCAAACAAGTCGAAGGCAATGTTGAATTATATTATTTTCGAGTTTCTTCATTAACGGGGGTCAGAAAAGTAACGTCTTTCATATCGGAATGTGCACAATGAAGATGACATGTGGACATGGAGAAGAACGCCGGGAAATAAATTTTAACAAAAATATCACACGAAGTCATGGGTCTCATCCTGAAACTGTTTTGTATGTAGATACCTTGGATGGATTTCTGCCAGATTTGTTCATTTCGTGACGATGTCTTTAATTGGCTATTTTTGGCGATTATTTTTGTCATTTTTAGTAGAAAATGCAATTTTTGGCCTCTGCGAGCTCAACTGCTTTGATACTCAGTATGCAGGTCCCTTGGCGGAACTCATGTCATATTTGTTCATTTCGTGACGATATCTTCAATTCGTGGTTCCAATACCCAATATTTACATATGCATTTATCTCGACAGATGGTGCCGAACACACTATCACCGTCGACAGTGACGTAGACAGCTACGTGGTCAGGGACTTATTACCCTTGACAAACTACACGTTCTATGTAGAGGCGTATACCAGTCATGGAGTCAGTGAGCCATCAGACACCATCTACGAAGTCACCATCATGGATGCCGGTAAATTACATAAAACAAAAGTTGGCTTAGAAATTCTTATATGTTGGAAGTTGAGACTCTGCCGCTAACTGTCGATTCTATGGTAAAATGTAAACAAAGCTTGATTTCAAGCGCGGGCCACTCCAAATTTCAACATTTTAAACACCGACGTTTGGTTATAGTGCTATGGCTAAATAAGAACATTTGTTGGCTCGTATTACAATGCTTTTCAGTAATAGTAAGTCGGTATAGACTTTTTTATTTGTTTGTGTTTCATTTTTTTTTCTAGCATATAAGAACTATATTTGCAGATATGACTGACACATTTCATGTTTTAAGTTGTAAACATTTTACCCAGTTTTGAATTTCTATAAAATATATTCAAAGCCCGCCACAATTTTGTGACCTTTTCTCAAATATTTTCTCATACAATAATGGGTCGGACAGTAACAAATGGGGTAGGTCGGCCATTTGTTTGTATGCGTGATATTTCGATAGCGGGCGCGATTTATGAGTTCAAACGGAAAGGTAACAGAGTCAACTCATTTAAACAAAACAGATACAGGTACCATGCCCACACGCCTCGAAAATATTGATAATTGAACTTTGCTAGATCAAAAAATATCGGGAGAGAACTGTTGCCAACTTAGTATTCCATGTCTCAGAATTCTATTTAAAATGGTATGAACAGGAATAAACCTTCACCCAGTGAGGTATACTACTCGATATTGCACGCTTTGAAATGAGTTCCGCCTCGTGACAGTTTACAAACTTTATATGAATGCATTCGCAGTGTAGCAGTTCACTGTCCACAGTGCCCAGAGCCTAATCATGGGTTTGGGGGAAACACGTCACGTACGGTGAACAGCAGACCACATCAGCAATGGTTTATAGCTCTAAAATAACATGTTAACACATGCACATTTGTTTGTTTACAGATGAGAATACAGCTCCTAATTTCACAGTGCAAAGCTATAGTCCACGCAGTGCTTTAGTCGAGTGGGATCTGGTCCAGTTCGATGAGTGCAAAAATATCACGGAGAAAGGAGTCCGCGTTTACTATCGGAAAATCGGAGAGAATACAACTAGCTACATCGACGTCGAAGGAAGTCACCAAAGCCATTTTTTTACTGATCTAGAAGCAGGGGCTACCTACGAAGTCGAATTGTCGGCCTCGGACTGTGAAGGCCAGGAGAGTATTTCGCTGACAAAACATGTTCTTATACAGTGAACATTGATGGGGCTGCTAAAAACCCAGGAATTAAGCGAAGTTCGTTACAAACATCTAACTTAATTCCTTGTCCCACTGTCTGGTATGTGATTATATTGTACATAAAGAACATATTCATTTTAAATATATAGCCATTGTTACATGTAACAAAATACACACTTCTGAAGTATGTTTGTAGTCATTTTGGCGTACCTTTTTTTTATTAGGCAAGCATTTTTATACGAGTCGAAATAATTGTATATATTATTCACTTATTTAACGTCTGTCAGTGAAAATTAATGGCGTAATCCCAGTACATAATTAATAACAGTCCCAACCAGTTCTACGTGAGAGAATATAGAGTTTAACCATATTTATATTATGTATGCATGCCATATTATTATCATTATTATAATTGGCAATATTGGTCACCAGTTGTTGAATGTTGTAGAATTTAGCAGACATCGATCACAGAGTTAGCAAATACGTTTTTCTTGAAAATGTGTGTGTTGTGATATAAACGAGGCTAGGATGGTACAGACTCCATTAGCCACAAAGAGATTAGGAATGATTGTAAATATGTTTTCTCAATTTAATAGGCGTCGATTTCGTCCGGTACTCAATGCAACCATTGTCCAGATAATAACAATCAAAGCCGTAGATATCACAAAACGCGTTACCCAATCTAAAACGTGTTTTTTGTGTGTATTTGCCCCAAATTGTCAAGTAATCACTCATTATTGATGTATATCTGGGATCAATATGTTAAAATCCATCGTTAACAGTGAACGGATTACGATTTACCGTTTCAAAACGGTTTGTTTTGAACATTACAAATTCTACTAATTGTAGTTCAGTGGAGTACAGAAACTAATTGAGTGACTTACACTGAGATAAGAAATAATTTTCATTCAATAAATGTATTGACTTTACAATGCCTTGTGACACTCCGATTAGTAGTAATAGTAATCCTATTAAATTTACAAAGAAGGTTTTTCTTCCTGCCAGCTTTTTGTGTCACAAATTATTGTGAAAACCAAATGTGTATTAAACACGTTTATATTTATTCATTGTGTGTAAATTATTAGTTGAGATAAAATGTGTTTTCCTCCACGTTTTATAAAAAGAAATGTTACTAATAAAATGTCCTTCCAAATTGAGATTGATGTCGTTTTAGATACACTATTTTGTTGCGCCCCCCTCGCGAAGAAGCGTTTCCGTGACGTCAAAATGACGTAGATGTGGTTCAAATAGAACATGCTGCTTGGATGTGTAGTCTCCCGCCATTTAAAATACATTTTTTTTTCATATACTGACGACTGCACGGACGACATGAAAGACTGTTTTTTTCATTCGTTTCGTCACTAGGGGCGCAACATAAAAATAATAATCTCAGCTCTCGCTTTTATTCATAAATTTGAAGTAGGGGAGTCGTCACCTGCGCATGCGTCAGATGGCCATAGCGTGTCATTGTTTACAAATAAACGCGTACCCATGAGCCTTTGCGTTTTTAGCTTGTGTTGTTATCGTCGCCTGGGACTCAATTCCCCTGCGCGCGTGCGCAGGTGACGACCCTCCCGCTTTAATGTAGTTGACTGCCTATTTTAGCTCGTCAATTATGTTAAAATAATGCATCCATTACCAACACATATCACAAGTACCACGAGTATTATCCATGAAAATACAGTCACACATTTTACAAGATGGCCGCTCATGCAGTCCTGCAGCCTTTATTTAAACAATAATAAACGACCCGCCAACCCATAATGGGCGAAAGCTCACTTTGTATATATATATTTCATATATGGAGCACAAAGTGTGCTTGTCGGGGAGTTCATTATTGTTATTATTTTGTAGCGTTGTCATTACCAGTGGATTTGCTGCCTCTAAAAAGCGGAAAAAAATTGCGAAAAATCTACAGTGAACGGAATAGTTTCAAAGTCACTGGCCCGTGAATCTGAATAATTTAAAATGTCTTTCTGGAAATTGTTTCCACAATCTCATATGGCAAACTAAGAAAGAAACTAGTTTTAATCCATCAAATATAATTGTATTGAACTCATTTACATTGCGAGTGAATGAGTGACTGATGTGTGATGTGGAGTAGCATTACAGTGATCGCCCGAGCGAACGGCACACCGTGACGCCGTATCCACAGTCAGCTGGCGCACACGTGATAATAAAATAAATACGATATTTACTATATGGGGGCCGCCATCTTGAATGACGCATAAAACTAAATAAGAGACAAGTTGTGAAACGCGTTTTTCAGATTCCTACAAATCAGGACAAAAATACCAATCTTTCTCAAAAATACGGTACGTTGGGGTTATATTAAGCCAACCGATAACAAAATTCGGCCGAATTCGTCGTTTTTGTGTGGAAAAATCCTTTGCATACGAACACCTAATTACGCAAAGAACATAGAACACTAAGCCGGGGTATTTGAAACCGAAAGCGTTAGGCCGTCGCTGATTGGCTGCTGTGCTGGAATGCGTTTATTTTGTCATGTCTCGCAACTGAACGTCCAAGCTGACTTTGTTTTGGCTGTACATGTAACATTAAAAAAAAAAGTACTACATAGTACCACACTGCTGATATGTGTAAGTATTTATTACTTTATTTATTAAATTATTACTTTATTTTGCACTTTTAAAATGAGGGATTGTACGTCGGGCTCCCCAATGAAGCCGCGAAAGGTGCGTTCCTAGATTCTGCTGAGTCAGACCATGGAGTGCCACCTTTTTGGCAAATATTCCTCTTTGATAGAGCAATTTTCGTCGACAACATCAGATTGAAATTTGCCGACATGTTTGAACAAGTGCCCCGGAAGTACTATTGAATAGCCAATTAGAAGAATCCATTTCCCGACCAATCAGATTTCATATTTTATTAATGGCGTATTCCCATTACCTGCCTCTTTGAGCTTGCGCGTAGAGGCGGGAACCAGCCAAGCGATTTTTTTAACACACGCACGAAAAAAATCATTCAAAGATAGCGCCCTCCACGGGCGTAAAAAGGTTAATGCACGCGTTTTTTTTATCACACACACGAAAAAATAATCATTCGAAAATAACGCCTCCTACAGGCGTAAAAAGGTTAATGCACGCGTTTTTTTTCTTTTTACACACACACATTTTCATTCGACCTCACACACGTCATTTAAAAAAAAACACGTCAGTTTTCAACACACATTATTTTAAAATACCACACGTCGTTTTTAAACACACACGTCGTTTTCAAACACACGTTATTTTAAAACACACACGTCATTTAATATACACATTTTTAATACACACGTCATTTTAATATACATATAATTTTAAAATACGCACGTCATTTTAATATACACATAATTTTTAAAACACACACGTGATTTTAATATACATATAATTTTTAAAACACACACCGTCGTTTTTAAACACACGTCATTTTAATAAACACATTGTTTTTAATACACACACATCATTTTTAAAACATACATAATTTTTAAAACTTCATTTTTTAAACACACATATTTTTTTAAAATACAAACGCCATTTAAAATACACACATCATTTTTTAATGCACATACATTTAATGAATACATACACAC